CTGCCCCGAGGAGGCAGGCGGCGTGGCGTGCTGGAACCGCTGTGACCACCACCATGGACTGGGGTGACGGCCGCTCTCCCACAGCGCCCGTCTGCAGGGGACGGTGCCTGTGCAACACTCCCCCGCCCGCACGCCGCCTTCCCTTTCCGTACTGCCAGTATTCGCAGCGTCTTTTAATGGCACACAGGCAAAAACCACCAGCTCTGTTCTGCCCGCGTTAATCCAGGCACAAGTCAGCAGCGTCCCCAACGCCGCTCCTTCTCCGCAGCCCGCGGGCAGCTGCTGCCCCACAGCCCTGGCCGCGGCGGCAGCGATCCCTGCCGAAATGGCATTTCGTGCCCACGAGGCTGCTCCCTACACATCAGCCACATATTTATTTCCGCTGCCATCCACCTATCTGTCCAGTTATCTTCTTTTGTTTCATAGGTTTAATTTTAAACCTAATGTCAAAACTCTGAGTATAAAATGAAATACATTTTGTTTAAAATACTCTGGGCAATTTTTATAGAACATCCTTTTGAAAAAAAAAAAAGTGCAGAGATCAATTTTTTTAAGTCCATCCCGCAGGCACCATCATTTAATTATGAGTGAGACATAAATTATGCATTTACACATTGTTGCATTTTCTATAAAATGGTGTGGAGATTTTTTTTTGTAGTTTTTGGAACTCTCTCTTTCTTCCTGGGGGCACTTTGGAGGGAAAAAACCTGCTGCAGGCTATACATTGATGAAAAAATTAGCATTTATCAGTATAACACCATTATGAGACCAGCATGGCACTAACATACACAAAATCTAAATCTATTTTTCTGCTTAGACTTAGGAAAACCTGAAAGGCTGTGATCTCACCAGGCAGAAAATGTCTCCTTGCAGCATAAGCACTAAAGGTAATTGGGCAGAAGCAAATAATTTGCATATAATTGAACAAGAAATAATAATAAAAAACCACCCCAGCACACAGATGAGCCAGCACCAAAAGGCCATTACCTGCACTGAATTCAACCGGCAGTAGCCATTCAAAGGGAACCTAATAACGTGGGTAGGGTCCTGGTTCCAGCCTGCGTTGACGGAGTTGCACATGACGTCCCCGGTCTCGGGGAAGATTTCTTCTATCAAGGCTTTCTCCCCACTCAGCGCAATTCTTTCCCCCAGATCCGGGGTCACTCTTACGACCAAGCAGTCACAAGGCTGGAAATGTTTCCTCTGTTCCTTCTCTTGTTTCCATCGCTCCAGTTCCTTAATCATTGGCTGCAACTGGTAATACTTTGCTTCTTCATATAAAAGACTAAAGTCCTGGGAAAAAAAAAAAATAATAGAGAGGGAGAGAGAGCAACTAGAAATGCTTATAGTTCTCTTTTAAAAATGAGTATTGTTCCTGTTTGACCTACTTAGGCTTATGTACTGTCAGCAAGAGTGCAAAGGCAACAGGTATCCACACACTTTGTCCTCGTCTTACACCTACACAGAAAACCACACCGTGTTAGCGTTGAATCGGTTGGAGCTGACCGTGAAGTTCCCACTGCACTGAACTGTGCTTTCATTTACTGTCCCGCAAGCTCAATGCCAGCAGGCTTTGCTTTTGGATTAAGAAATCAAAATAGCTGGTTGCAATAAGTAAAGCCTGCTGATTTGTAGGAGAAGATGTCCTGAGCCCTGATCTTCTCCCTTGGCCTCAGATATTCCCTTCTGATCTTACAGCAGGAGCTCCTGGGCTTCGCCGTCACCTCTCGCACACGCTGCGAGACAGAGATGTCAGTTCAGCTTCGCTTCTCACCTGTCTCGGCTGAGTCTGGGAACCGCAGCTCCAGCAGCTCAGCTGCTCCCTGCGCTTCATGATTATTCATGGCTTTAAAGCATACTTTGGAGGCCGGTAAGTTATGCGGAGGTAGTGACCATCCTGCTGGCTGGGAGCTCAGCTGTGCGCTCCAACAACTTCAAAGAAACGGTTCTTCCCAGCCATTTGTCCGTCACCTCACCTGGGCCCTGGGCAATTCCACTGCCCAGCCTGCTCCGATTCCCAGGTCACTGACTGAGATGTCTTCTGCGCACCCTCACTGACAACTTTTCCCCAGCTTTCCGACAGATCCTCCCACCTCAGCTTGGATGCACGAGGCTGTGCTCAGGCCAAAGGTGTCAGCAGCCCCTGACCTGAGGCAGCGGCCGTGCCCACCAGACCCAGCCAGGGAAGAGCAAGGGGGGAAGCCCCGGGCGGGCATGTGCTGATGCCGGCCCCACCGCTACCTCCAGCCTCCCGGTGGGAAGAGGAACATCAGGGGCAGCTCCTCTCCCCAGAGACCCGCCGTCTGCGTCCCAGCTCTCGTGCCGGTCTGCAGATGGAAACGCTGCACCGCCCGTACGCTACGTCTATTTGTGGAGCATGCGGAGGGTCAACACCTGGACATAAAGGCCAGTTCTCCACCGCTGCAGTGAGATTAAATGAAAAATCACAAGAGCGAAATGGCTGGAACCGTCTGGACAGGAAGAAGGGCATGACAAGAAGTAATCAAGAAACAGGCACCAAAATTACATGAGAAATAATGGCAGCACTGCTGCTCGAGGACTCGGGGAGGAGAGGGAATCAAAGGCCAATGAAGGTGCAGCACAAGAAGGTGCGACTCTCCACAGTGGCTCGGAATTAACCTGTAAAGTCTGCTGCTGCAGGACATTATTGAACCAAAGCGGTTAGCTCTGTTCAAGTCTGGCACCCCGGACCCAGCTCCGGTAGTGGAGAGGTGCTGCCTGCAGCCTGGAGACACATGAATATTCACACTGACACATCCGATCACAAAAGGGACAGCCGTCCTTTACCTGTCTTTGATGTCTGCTAAGGCTGGGATGATACCCACACTGCTAAGGGAGAAAAAAGGATGGCAGAAGGCACAGAGAGGAATGTGGTAAGGGCAAGCGGGCAGAAATGAGGGCAACAAACACTGATGGGAAGTAGCTGGAAGATGAAGAACAGCAGGAAGATTACAGAAGACATCATGCAGAAAGCACACCGCGAACAGCCAGAGCTGGGGACAGGCCAGCCGAAGAGGCACGGAGACCGGCTGCACTACCTGCTCCGGGGTAAGACAGCACCAGCCCCAAAGCCTTGTCCCCCGAGGGAAGGTCCTTCCCCCCTCCCCAACATCAGCGTGCTGAACCATCGCTGCTTTTCTCTGTCCACCAGTGAAGCTCCCGGGTTTACCGAGCATGGGATCGGTTTAACCCTACAGGGATTAGGGGCCTGAAATAAAAAACAAGCCCTGCCCCAAACTTTCTGACATCCTCCTTGTGCGGGACGCTGGAGCAACAGAGTCCACCGCCCGACTGTGATCACTACAGAGGCGCATGCCGGGGCCTGTCAATGCTCCTGGGCGTCTGCTGGCCCCACGCATCTCTTTTTTCAGCAAAGGAAAACATGCAAAGCTAAGGAAAAATGTAATGCTGTAGAGTGAACAGGAGCTTACTGAAGGCAATGGAAAGTCTCCCAGTGTTTTCAGTAGGTCTTGAAAAACTAATTTTAGAATATCTGTGTTCACAGTCACTATAAACTAACATATTATTCGTAAGGTCAATCAAGTGAATACGTGCTAAGAAAACTCAACAGTAAAGCCTAGAAGAGCTGGTACAGTGATATAAAACCCAGTCCTTCATTTCTGCAAGCGGGGAGAGGTACAGTGCTCCTGAGGCTGGACGCAAGCCCACTGCATTCACCAGGGTCTTTTCACCTGACTTCACTGGGCTTTGGACTAGACTGACAGTATCCTGACCCACGGGAGCTCCACGGTCCAGCACCCTCTGGCCGAAACAGTAATGCCATAGGGCAGTGCAGACAGATTCGGCACCCTCTGGCACGAAGGCTCCAGCCCCGGCGCCAGCGGGGGAGAAGGGAGCAGCCAGCCAGGCAGGACGCACACGGCCCTTCTCCAGCCGCAGCGGC